AGGGGCCCCTTTGTTGGGACTACAGCGTTGCGTCAGCATATGGCAGCTTCACCATTCGGATGCCTGGGAAAACCGTGATAAATTCGGCGTTCTAGCCTGATCCCCCGCCCACTTACCGCTACTTCAATATCCGCTCGTTACTTGCTCGCTCTATAATGACGTCTGTCAATCGCCCTCTATCAGACAGTCAAGGCTACAAACACCTCTGTCTGGAGGGGAGTTGTCGCTCATTGCCTTTCGCTCGTTCTGATGTCTTCCTCCTGACTACTTCTGCTCTTTCGGATTTTTTTTCATGTATTTCCCATTTTTTTTCTTGTCTAACTAGTCTTTCTTGGATCCGATATCACATGAGACTAACAGTTGCGAGAGCCACGCACCCGACGGTGCATAATAGCGGAATCGTATTCCTCCGGTCCAAGTTGTGGTGCTGCAGTCCCTCCCTTTCCAAGTGGTGGACTCAGCACCTTTCAGAGAAATGATGGCTTGTGCGCGCCGCGGTGGAGAGTGCCAAGCGTCTTTTCTTCGCCAAAAAAGCAGTGCCAGCCCTGCATTCACATGTAGAAGAAGATGTGTGGGCAGTCTTTGAGCATGTCGGTCTCTGCCAAAGTGCACGGGCAGCGCAGACGTGTGGAGCTGTAACTTAACGGTCAGGGACAGTACATGTCATTTACGGCCCACTGGGGTGAACGTGGCTGCCGCAGCACAGCCGCACCAGCAAACTTGGACAGGTCACGCCGCTTTTGCCTTCCACGTTTGCACGTCCTTGGGTCCGGCAAAGATGTCGCCTCTACCACCTCTTTCTTCCGCCGTGTCCCTCAGCCGCCACCAACCGTGCCAAGTCCCATTACGCCGACCGGCATATTCACATGTGCAGCATGGGCGCAACGGTGTCACGCTTTGTGCTGCACCTGGTATGCCTTGGCGAACCGTAAGTCACAAGGGGAGGAACTTGGCTGGAGTCCGTGTAATGAACAGAGAAATCGACAGATGGCTGTCTACCGCCGCGCAAACTGAAAATCGGAACCATGTTGACCGACAACGGAAAGAACATGGTGTCTGCTCTGCGTCAAGGAAGGTTGTGCCATGCGCCATGCATGGCTCACAGTGTTCAATCTGGTTGTCAAGCGGTTCTAAAAATCCACCATCCCACTGCATTGAGACATCCTTAAAAAATGTCACGTAAACTTTGCATGCATTTCAGCCATTCCTGCCCATTACACCGCAAAAGAACACCCTCCTTGAGCTGCAGCGGCAGAACGGAATTGCACAGCATCGCCTGATCTGCGACGTTGCAACAAGGTGGAATTCTCAACCCTACAACATGTTAGAACCGCCTTTTACGAACAGCGAAAGGCCATCAACCGATTTCCTGATGTTGTTACAAGCGGATAAAGGTACTCCCCCTGTGTAACTTAGATGTCAGCATTTGGCAGCTCATGCGTTGACACCATGCCGCTTGCTCAGAGGCCCTTTGAGGAGGCCACGCTATTGTGAGTCGGCAGACTATGGGGATTCTTATGAACGACGTCACATTCCTCTGTTGCACTCGTCCTTGGAACAAATGCTGTTAAAATGGCTGGTCAGGGTGCGGTAGACGTGGCGCACAGATCTCAACGCCACATGACCCACCTGTGGGGGCAGGACAGGAAGAAGAGAGGAGGAGGTAGAGGAGGACATTTGTGCTCAGGAATTAATGAGTGATGAAATGGGTGGTTTTTCCAAAAAGAAGAGCGGAACAGGAGTGGAGGAGCAGGAGCAATCTGGTAGAGCTGGAGGAGGAGGAGGAGACAGAGGGACCAGACGCACCACGTGGCACGTTATGCTGTGGAGATGGAGGAGGGAGTCCCTCGCATTTTGCTTGGCACAAATGGGCCCATAGCATGCTCGGTCATTGCTTGCAGCTAGCGGCGAAACAGCGGCTAATAATATAACCACATCAGACAGAGGGATGACTTTTGGCTGTCACAACCTTGTTGGACCCTCGCTACCGTTCAAAAATGGTGGCTTTTTCACACCTGCTGAGAGGGAGGCCAAAATAGCGTACTATAAAAACCACTATGTAGTCAGTTGGTCTTGCTTTGTGCGCAACGTCCCCTCACTCAGACACTGTGGGGCCCTGGTGCGCTGGGGCTGTTTTCCGCTGCCATGGCAGCAGGGGGGCACGGTGGCGAGGTAGGAGCAGTGGCAGCTCACACCAGCAGCAGGCTGCCTCAGTTGCAGTCGATGGATGGTAAGCCTTTACTTACCCCCTGCGCAGTGCAGATGAGGAATAGATACTAACCAGCCTGCCAGCAGCAGCGCAGCATCAGGTGTGGACCTGGTGCAGGAGCTCCAAACAACAGGCGTTGGGCGCGTTTCTTGGCACAGCACCCTGCCCACACGAGGTAGACACGATCCCTTGACTACTGGGCAAAACGAAACTTGCCCTTTGGCCCCAACTAGCCTGAATTTGCCACTTGCGGCTGTCATGCCCAGCAGTTAGCGTGGCATCGGAGCGCGTGTTTAGTGCCGGCAGGAGGTATTGTAACTCCGCGGAGGACACGACTGGGTCCCACCCAAAGTGTGGAGAGACTTCACGTTTGTTGTGAAAATGAATCAGGCGTGGATTAGTCTGGATTTCAAACCACCAGTTCCTGACACAACTGACTAATCCGCCTGAATCATGCCAATACATGTGCCACTTTGACGGTCTGCTGGTGTGTAGAATTTTTTTTGACTAGGGTGCTGGCAGATTTATGGGCCTCCCATTGCTGCTGCCAGGCCCCTAATCTGCCATAGGCCCCTATATACCGCTTCCTCCTGCTGCTGCCAGGTCCAGTAGTCTGTCATGGGTCCCTGTACGGCCTCCCATTGCTGCTGTCTCCATCGCCACACTCTGACCATGTGCCACTTTCAGGTCTCCTCACACTGCTGGTGTGTTGAAATTTTTTGACATAGGGTGCTGGCAGATTACGGGCCTCCCATAGCTGCTGCCAGGCCCTAATCTGCCATAGGCCCCTATATACCGCCTCCTCATGCTGCTGCCAGGTCCAGAGTCTGTCATGGGTCCTGTACGGCCTCCCATTGCTGCTGTCTCCATCGCCACACTCTGCCATGTGCCACTTTCAGGTCTCCTCACACACTGCTGGTGTGTTGAATTTTTTGACATAGGGTGCTGGCAGATTACGGGCCTCCCATAGCTGCTGCCAGGCCCCTAATCTGCCATAGGCCCCTATATACCGCCTCCTCATGCTGCTGCCAGGTCCAGAGTCTCTCATGGGTCCCTGTACGGCCTCCCATTGCTGCTGTCTCCATCGCCACACTCTGCCATGTGCCACTTTCAGGTCTCCTCACACACTGCTGGTGTGTTGAATTTTTTTGACATAGGGTGCTGGCAGATTACGGGCCTCCCATAGCTGCTGCCAGGCCCCTAATCTGCCATAGGCCCCTATATACCGCCTCCTCATGCTGCTGCCAGGTCCAGAGTCTGTCATGGGTCCCTGTACGGCCTCCCATTGTCTGCTGTCTCCATCGCCACACTCTGCCATGTGCCACTTTCAGGTCTCCTCACACACTGCTGGTGTGTAGAATTTTTTGACATAGGGTGCTGGCAGATTACGGGCCTCCCATAGCTGCTGCCAGGCCCCTAATCTGCCATAGGCCCCCTATATACCGCCTCCTCATGCTGCTGCCAGGTCCAGAACGGTCTCCTCACATTTGCTGGAGTGTCTCATGCATGCCATGTGCCACTTTCAGGTCTCCTCACACACTGCTGGTGTGTAGAATTTTTTTTTGACCTAGGGTGCTGGCAGATTAAGGGCCTCCCATAGCTGCTGCCAGGCCCCTAATCTGCCATAGGCCCCTATATACCGCCTCCATGCTGCTGCCAGGTCCAGAGTCTGTCTCATGGGTCCCTGTACGGCCTCCCATTGCTGCTGTCTCCATCGCCACACTCTGCCATGTGCCACTTTCAGGTCTCTCCTCACACACTGCTGGTGTGTTGAATTTTTTGACATAGGGTGCTGGCAGATTATGGGCCTCCTATAGCTGCTGCCAGGCCCCTAATCTGCCATAGGCCCCTATATACCGCAGGTTCCTCATGCTGCTGCCAGGTCCAGAGTCTGTCATGGGTCCCTGTACGGCCTCCCATTGCTGCTGTCTCCATCGCCACACTCTGCCATGTGCCACTTTCAGGTCTCCTCACACACTGCTGGTGTGTGTTGAAATTTTTTGACATAGGGTGCTGGCAGATTATGGGCCTCCTATAGCTGCTGCCAGGCCCCTAATCTGCCATAGGCCCCTATATACCGCCTCCTCATGCTGCTGCCAGGTCCAGAGTCTCTCATGGGTCCCTGTGGCCTCCCATTGCTGCTTTCAGGTCTCAGGTCCTCACACACTGCTGGTGTGTTGAATTTTTTTGACATAGGGTGCTGGCAGATTACGGGCCTCCCATAGCTGCTGCCAGGCCCCTAATCTGCCATGGGCCCCTATATACCGCCTCCTCCTCATGCTGCTGCCAGGTCCAGAGTCTGTCATGGGTCCCTGTACGGCCTCCCATTGCTGCTGTCTCCATCGCCACACTCTGCCATGTGCCACTTTCAGGTCTCCTCACACACTGCTGGTGTGTTTTGAATTTTTTGACATAGGGTGCTGGCAGATTACGGGCCTCCCATAGCTGCTGCCAGGCCCCTAATCTGCCATGGGCCCCCGTACCGACTCCTCATGCTGTGACGTTGCAACAAGGTGGAATTCAACCCTACATATGTTAGACCGCCTTTACGAACAGCAAAAGGCCATCACAGATTTCCTGATGTTAAAAGCGGATAAAGGTACTCCCTGTGTAACTTAGATGTCAGCCATTGGCAGCTCATGCGTGACACCTGCGCTTGCTCAGGCCCTTTGAGGAGGCCACGCTATTCGTGAGTCGGCAGGACTATGGGATGAACGACGTCATTCCTCTGTTGCACGTCCTGGAACAAATGCTGTTAACAATGGCTGGTCAGGGTGCGGTAGACGTGGCGCACAGATCTCAACGCCACATGACCCCTGTGGGGGCAGGACAGGAAGAAGAGGAGGAGGTAGAGGAGGACATTGGTGCTCAGGAATTATTGAGTGAAATGGGTGGTTTTTCCACTCAGCGGACAGGAGTGGAGGAGCAGGAGCATCTGGTAGAGGAGGAGGAGGAGGAGGAGGACAGAGGACCCAGACGCACCGTGGCAGTATGCTGTGGAGATGGAGGCAGGGAGTCCCTCGCATTCCTTGGCACAAATGGCCCCATAGCATGCTCGGTTGCTTGCGTAGCGACGACAGCCGAATAATAACCATCAGACAGAGGGATGACTTTTGGCTGTCCACCTTGTTGGACCCTCGCTACCGTTCAAAAATGGTGGCCTTTTTCACACCTGCTGAGAGGGAGGCCCAAAATAACGTACTATAAAAACCACCTATGTAGTCAGCTGGTCTCTGCCTGTCTGCGCCAACGTCCATCCTCAGACACTGTGGGCCCCTGTGCGCTCGCGTTCCGCTGCCATGGCAGCAGGGGAGGGGTGGGGTGGTAGGAGCAGTGGCAGCTCCACCAGCAGCGGCTGCCTCAGTCTGCAGTCGATGATGAGTAGCTTTCTTCACCAGCGCAGTGAGGAAACTACTAACCAGCCGCAGCAGCAGCAGCAGCAGCAGCAGCATCAGGTGGACCTGGAGCAGGACCTCAAACAACAGGCTTAGGCCTACTTGGACAGCACCCTGCCAACCGAGGTAGACAATCCCCTTGACTACTGGGCAACGAAACTTGACCTTTGGCCCCAACTAGCTGAATTTGCCCTTGAAAGGCTGTCATGCCCGGCCAGTAGCGTGGCATCGGAGCGAAGCGTGTTTTTGACAGTGCGGCAGGAGGTATTGCAATACTCCGCGGAGGACACGACTGTCCACCCAAAGTGTGTGGAGAGAGAGACTGACGTTTGTGAAAATGAATCAGGCGTGGATTAGTCTGGATTTCAAACCACCAGTTCCTGACACAACTGACTAAATCCGCCATGAATCATGCCCCAAACATGTGCCACTTTCAGGTCTCCTCACACTGCTGGTGTGTTCCATTTTTTGTCATAGGGTGCTGGCAGATTACGGGCCTCCCATAGCTGCTGCCAGGCCCCTAATCTGCCATGGGCCCCTATACCGCCTCCTCATGCTGCTGCCAAGTCCAGAGTCTCTCATGGGTCCCTGTACGGCCTCCCATTGCTGCTGTCTCCATCGCCACACTCTGCCATGTGCCACTTTCAGGTCTCCTCACACTGCTGGTGTGTGTTCCATTTTTTGTCATAGGGTGCTGGCAGATTACGGGCCTCCCATAGCTGCTGCCAGGCCCCTAATCTGCCATGGGCCCCTATACCGCCTCCTCATGCTGCTGCCAGGTCCAGAGTCTCTCATGGGTCCCTGTACGGCCTCCCATTGCTGCTGTCTCCATCGCCACACTCTGCCATGTGCCACTTTCAGGTCTCCTCACACTGCTGGTGTGTTCCATTTTTTGTCATAGGGTGCTGGCAGATTACGGGCCTCCCATAGCTGCTGCCAGGCCCCTAATCTGCCATGGGCCCCTATACCGCCTCCTCATGCTGCTGCCAGGTCCAGAGTCTCTCATGGGTCCCTGTACGGCCTCCCATTGCTGCTGTCTCCATCTCCATCGCCACACTCTGCCATGTGCCATGTGCCACTTTCAGGTCTCCTCACACTGCTGGTGGGTCCATTTTTTGTCATAGGGTGCTGGCAGATTACGGGCCTCCCATAGCTGCTGCCAGGCCCCTAATCTGCCATGGGCCCCCGTACCGACTCCTCATGCTGCTGCCAGGCCCGTAATCTGTCATGGGCCCCTGTTGTCGCTTGTTGGCATATTCCGCTCGTTCAGATGCTCCTTCTCCTGCTACTCCTCTTCACGGATTCCGTCAGCAGTCTTTCTTGGAATCCGTTTTCCAAGAGACAACAGTTTGCGAGCACGCACCAGACGGTGTGCAGAAACTGAACGTCCTCCTGTCCAAGTTGCTGCTGCCAGGCTCGTAATCTGTCATGCGCCCCTGTACCGCCTCCTCCTCATGCTGCTGCCAGGTCCAGAGTGTGTCATGGGCCCCCGTACCGACTCCAAATGCTGCTGCTGCCAGGCCCGTAATCTGTCATGGGCCCCCCTGTACCGCCTCCCCATGCTGCTGCCAGGTCCAGATTGTGTCATGGGTCCCTGTACGGCCTCCCATTGCTGCTGCCAGGCCCGTAATCTGCCATGGGCCCCCCTACCGACTCCTCATGCTGCTGCCAGGCCCGTAATCTGCATGGGCCCCTGTACCGCCTCCTCATGCTGCTGCCAGGTCCAGAGTGTGTCATGGGTCCCTGTACGGCCTCCCATTGCTGCTGTCTCTATCGCCACACTCTGCCATGTGCCACTTTCAGGTCTCCTCACACTGCTGGTGGTTTCCATTTTTGTCATAGGGTGCTGTATGGCCTCCCATTGCTGCTGCCTCCACCGCCACACTGTGGCTCCACACTCTGGTTTTGGCCCCGTGACTGCCCAAATGAGTGAAGTGTGCGGTGATTCTAAGATCGACGGCACTCATCTGCATGTCATACTGCCTGACAGTATTATTTCTCTTCCCCAGCAGACTCCAAGGGCATTTATAAAGGTACAGTGTTCAGCACTAATATTAAGTCTCTCTGAAGCCTAGAAAAACACCCTTTTTTAAGTTAAATTCACAGCGAATATATTAGACTCGAATCGAAATTTTTTCTATTGTTGTTTTTCCTTCTCCTCAAGTGCTAACACAGAAAGCGCTATAAGGGCCAGTTTTTTTTTTTGCGGGTTAATTTGGCCATTTTAATACAATAAATGAAGAAAATTCGTAGGAACGAAAAGTTGCTGATGTCTTGCCTGCAGATTACGAAAAAGAGGGAGGGACAGAAAGGTCACCAAACGACAGCATTTCCGCCCAAAAACGACATCATTTCCTGTAGAGGTGACAATTACAGAGGATTTATCCGCCGATTTTTCGTTCTAAATGGTGTTCTAATTGGCTGTACGGCCGACCAATTTTTCACTTATCAGAAGAAAAATCGAGAGACTTTTTGCAAATCTATGGCCTGCCTAAGGTTGATACTCTTTGCCATCTTGGTAGTTTTTCCACAATTCACAAACCAAAATATATGAAAAAAGCATCGTTTGTCATTGCAGCCTCTAAAACAGCAATCAGAGGTCTCAGAAAACATGTTTATGTAATTGAGAAGGTTGTAAAAATACCATCTGCCAAACTGACTATGTATCTATCGTACAGCAGGCACATATCAGGAATAAGAAATGTTGGGTTTACATGCTCTTTAACCACTAGCCCTCCAGAGGAATTTACCGCCCCTTCCCTGACCAGGCCATTTTTTGCAATAAGGCGATTTACTTTAACTGACAGTTGCACAATCATGCAACGCTGAACATAAATTACATTTTTTATTTTTTTTTTTCCCCCACAAATAGAGCTTCTTTTTGGTGGTATTTGATCACTCTGCCTTTTTTAATTTTTTGCACTATATAAAACAAAAATAAAGACCGATAATCTTGATAAAAAAACAATGTTTTTTTACTTTTTACTATAAAATATATCCAATAAAGGAAATTTAAAAAATAAAATTTCCTTAGGCCAAAATGTTATTCTGCTACATGTCTTTGCTAAAAAAAAAAAAAACCACAAGTGTATCATTAATTAGTTTACATGAAAGCTATAGTGTCTACAAATGGTGGTGTATATATACTGGATTTTTTTTATTTTTTTTAATACTAGTAATGGCGGCGATCAGCAACTTATAGCGAATGACAGCGGCAGGCATTCTGACACTGGGGGGGGAACTGGCTAACTGCCACTGACATCCCCAGTGACACTAATACAGTGATCTGTGCTAATAAAAAAGCACTGACACTGTACTAATGACAACTGGGCATGATGGGCTTAAGCAAAACCATTTCACTGGTTTGCGGGGCCATTTCTTGTTCTTCTGCTTATACCTTCTCAAAGTTTTAGGAGTGGATAATTACACCTCTGCTGATAAGTTTCAAAAAATTAATAAATGTATCAAGAAATTTAAAAAACCTTCGTTTTTACAGTCTTCAATGTGCTTCAAGCTGTTATCTAGATGTTTTCAGTTCGATTGGACACTTGTTTTCTAAGGGCATGTTTGCTGTGTTGTTGCCTACATCTCAGTTTATTGCTTGGGGACATCCCATTGTCTGACTAAAAGTCCTCTGCCTCCTGTACTGTATGATTAAGTTAATGGAATTTTGACTTGCCTGTAAATTCTGTAACTTGAAGTAGGGCTGAAACAAGACCATAATTGATAAAAAAAAAATAGTTGCCAACAATTTTCATTTTGGATTAGTTGGCCTGCATACAGAATGAGCATTATTTGATTGTCATTATCCACAGTACAGTACACATACAACTCGGTACACCTTCCATACATGTCAGTAAATGCATGAGAATATGTAAATATGTGAGGAGCAATGCCTTCAAGGGTACATGTAGTCCTAGGCAGGAGAGGAAGTGAATTAAAGTGATTGTAACTGGCAGAAGGGTATTTTTTTTTTTTTTTTTACTTATATATATACCTACCTTACATAAAAAAACCTTCTGCGTGACCAGAATAAAACCCTGCCGCCCTGTATTCACTTGCCCAATACTAATCCTCGATCACAGCGCTGAGCTGGACTTGAGCAACAAGCGCTGCTCTCTCTCTCCCCCCCCTCAACAGGACTTTAGATGCAGAGAGTGCCATTGGCACTTTGCTGTCCAATTCAAATCCTGTGAGGAGGGAGCAGGGGACAGGCCCGAGACACTGGGTGTGCGCCCAACAGAAGCGCACAGGGCGATTAGGGATCAAGCCCACTCGAGTGCCTGCATTGATTGAAGGACTGCTCTGTTCAAACAATCAAATCACACAGAACAGGGAAGTATGGACATGGTTTTATTGTTAAATAAGAAAATGTGTCTCTCCCCGGCCAGTGTAGGGTGGGATTTGTGAGTGATGGAGTTTGGTATTGGCGCTCATGGACCCTTGCTCTTTCTGTGTGTGATTTTGTTTTTTGGTTTTTGTTTGTTTTTTTTTTGGTTTTTTGCCTCTTTCTTCTCTGCTCTTTTTTTTTCTCTCCGTTTCTGTTTTGTTTTTGATGTGTCAGTGGACAGCTGTCTTTATTGCAATAATCTGAGTTTCACTGATGTTTATTGATAACCTATGTGCCATTGATAGCCCCTGCCGTGGGCATACCTTTTGCCTTATTGTAATTTAGAGCGTTGTCTCTCTATTATGCATTTTCTATCGGTGCAATTGATAGGCCCCTGCGTAGGCGTGTTTTTGTTGCCTCTGTTTTAAACTGTTTAAAATTAAAAAAACCATTGAAATCAAAAAAAAAATTGCAACGTTTACAATCCTAATGCTTTTTACAGGCGGATCGCATGGAACCCAGAGAAGGGGATTACAAATTAAATTTAAATGAATTTAAAATGCTATATCCATAAGTTCAGCCTTTAATGCAAATTTTAAAATTATATATTTTAAAAAATTTATTTTTTTTTATTTACACCTCTTTTAAATTTTTTTTTCATTTGATTTTTTTTTTCCTACGCGTCTCTTTAATTTTTTTTTTCTTTATTTCTTATTGCTTTTACAGGGATGAACAACTCCCCTTGTGAAAGCATGGACTGTAAGGTCCCCTTTATGGAAAGATTTGCTTCTATTAACCCCAGTCTCTGCTCTCAAATTTAGCCTATAGAACAGATCGGTCTGACGGTGCTTTCCCGGCCCTAAAAGCCAGGTACACAAATAGCCAAAACCGGAAATGAAAAATCGTTGGGTTCCCGGGGTCAATATTCTCAACCACGAAGGTCAAATGGTGTTTTAAATGTGGCACTTGAAATTTTA